AAAAAAAAAAAAAAAAAGAGACAGAGAAAATTTGAAATAAGTAAAAATCCTTCCTTCTAGATTTCCCAGAAACCCTTTCTCTTTGTCCTATGGCTAAATTTTACACACAGCAACAGTGTTAGAGCTGGCAGGGACTTTAGAAGTTTTAAGTCCAATCCCTTCATTTTACAGTGAAAGAAACTAAGGGCCAATCCGCCTGCCTTCTCATTCCAGAAATATTTGTTATAAGATCAGCTGTGGCTTCCAGAAATTTCTACCACATGGAAGTTCCCAGCAGAGGGAAGAAGAGCCCATTCCTCAGAAAGGCTTGGGCATAAACAGAAACAGGTTCTGGTAATGAACTATTTTGAAGAAAGTCAGGCAAGGCACTGTCCACAGAGAAGTCACTTAGTCAAGAATGCCTGAACATGCATTGATTTCAACTGAAAATAAAAGTAATTGCTACTATTTGTTCAGCAACTACTATGTTCCAGGCCATGAATCAAGACACTTTTGGCATTCCAGTCTTCCCCACAACCTAAGAGGGCCTCTGGAGTCAGGGGCCTTGGGAGAGGGATGGAAAGTACAGTCAGCCAAGCTCAGGGTGGCCAGCAAGAGGGGAGGAGACTGGGGGGCTGACAGGGACACACCGCCAGGATTTCCTCCAAGGCACTGCACCTTAAGGTGAGTCACACTCTGCTTGGGTGGACCCCTGCCCCAATTCTCAGTTGGCTGGAAGAGGAGGATGCTAGGGGGTTGGAGGTGTCTGTTCTTTGGGATGCTCCCTGGTGGAGGATCCACAAGGATGCAATATAAGGACAGACCCTGGGTCAGTGCTTCCTGCATTGGGCTCGTGAGAGATTGTTCCGACCTTCCCAGTACTTGTATGTTGGTTTTCTGTTTTATTTTCTCTAAATTAAGCACAAATGTTTTATATATACTTTGCTGGTATCATCTAAAAATAATAATTTTCTACCACTCTTAGATGTTCTGTACAAGAGGACAAGACTCAGCCTTTAGTTAAATTGCCAAGTAAATGAAATGTTAACACCTTTTCGTAGTACCTTTCCCATCCTGGGACGGTGACAGATGGCTCACTAACAGCTCAATATCCATTCTCCCTTTCTTCCTTACCAACAGAACTGTGCTTTTATTCTACTGGGTAAAGAGGTCAGCTAAAGGACTACATTTCCCAGTGTTCTCTGCAACTAGGTGTAACCAATGAGATGTAAGCAGAAATTGTTGGGTAAAGTTTCCCAACTTTAGTTGGTCTTGGTAGAACCATGGGCATCCCAGTGGTCCCCAGGCTGAGAGGATGTCCCTGGCTCCTCACATCCCCTGAAAGGCCCTGGGAAGCATGCCCAAGGGAAAGGGCAGGACCTGAGAGATTGCTCTTTCTGCTGGTGAAGCCGGAGAATCTCCTCTTCCTCCTCTTGGCACAGCTTCTCCCGCAGTTGCTGCATCTTCTCTTGCTTCGATTCCAGCAGGTGCCTCTGGTCTTGCTCGAGTACTTGGGCCACTGCCTCTTCCATGGCCTTTAGTGCAGCCTCTGAGAGCTGCTTTGGGGGAGCCACAGGCTCTGTGAATCGCCTGCCATGGGTGGGGAATGGCATATCATCACAGGGTTAATGTCCACCCACCTCTGCATCCAGGTTAGAATGGATACAGAACATCACAAATGGAATCCTAATGGAGGGCCCACAATCAGGAGTCAAACAGCTCACCCAAGGGCAGGCAAGAGATATGGTCAATGCTTGTTCTATAGGACAAGCCCCACTGTGGCTGTTTAAGGCCCCAGGAGCCAAGGGAGAAGGGCAGCCCACAGCAGGCTCTCAGCTGACTTGCGAGGTTGTGGCTCAAGGTCAAAATCTGAAGCTGCAGCTCAAGAGCTGGCAGCAGCAGGGACAGAGTGAAGCTCTGTCCCTACTGGATTCCTTCCTAGAATGGCTCATAGCCCCATTACCACCTCCCCACTAGAGCTCTGCCTGCTACTTAAGGCTCATGCCAGCAATTTGGGAACAGTCCCCAGAGACTGCTTTCTGCCTCCCAAACTGAGTAGTGGCCAATGTATATGGGCCCATGAAAGAAGCAGCAGCAGGTCTCCTAGCTCTGAGAACTACAACAGTCCAGGAAAGCCCAGGAATAGGAAGCTCCCCTATCACAACACCATGGGGGCCAGGAGGAGATGCTCCCCTAAGCCAAAAAACGTAGCAAGTGTGCACATGAGTGCCATGTTCCCCGTCTACCCGTGGGGGCACGTTTTCATCTGCTTAGAGTTAATTAAATGTTTAGAAATGAGTAAAAGGAATTCAGAGCTGACCTGGATGCATAAGAGGATGGTGAGATCAGGAATAATGGTATCCATTAAAAAGATGTGTGTCAAGTAATAAGGACTGTTATTTTGCTTGTTTTCTGGTTCTTCAAGGAAATGCCCAAAGAGGAATCCTGAGAACATTCTGAGCAGGATAAAGCATGAGCAGGATAAAGCACGAGGAAAGCATGAGCAGGATAAAGCATGAGGAAAGCATGAGCAGGATAAAGCATGAGGAAAGCATGAGGAAAGCATGAGCAGGATAAAGCATGAGGAAAGCATGAGCAGGATAAAGCATGAGGAAAGCATGAGCAGGATAAAGCATTTTGCCTTCCAGAGTGACTTTCCTAAAGGCCAGAATGTGCCTGCACATCCAGGTCCCTCAATCTCACAGTGGAAACTGGTCTCACCACACACCCTCCTCGCACAGCACTCAGGCTGCTGCAGGCCTGGCACGGTGGCTCAGTCAACCTAACCAGAAAGTGTGGGCATGACCCAAAACAAAGAGGGCTGGGCAAGAGTCAAACAGGGGAGCTGGTCTTCCCTGCTGGGGACTCAGAACCCCTTCTCCCTCCAGCTCGAGCCCCACTGCAGATGGAAAGCAGCGGGCAGGATCAGATTAGAACAGTACAGGAAAACAAGGGCTTAGGAATCCCACTGCAGCACCTTGAGACTAGAGAGAGAGGAAGACAGGACAGGCTACTGTCATCTCTGAAATACCATAAAGACCTTCCATTTCCCCTTTCCTAAAATCATAACTTGGACCAGAAATGATCTTGAGCTATGCCTTCAATTCTTTTCTGCTCCCAACTCCATTTCCTCCTTCCTTCCAAAGCCTGGCTTCCTCTGAGTCCCCTGACACAGCCCAACTGATGCAGATGTAAGACATGTGGCTGCCACCTCCTCTGAGAATCCTGCCCTCAGAAAGAGCCTTCCCCCACAGCTCTCCGCCTCATCAACCCTCCAACTCATTTCCAACCTTGGCTGAAAACATCTTTTTTCCCTGAGATGGTGCCTTTTAATGTCTCTCTCTCCTGCAGGCTGCAAGCTATGTGGAGCCCTAGGGACAGATGCTCTGGAAAGATGGGGCATCACAGCACGTGGGGCATGTGCCCAGGCTATGAGCACCAGTGAGCTTGCACAGAGGCAAGCTGGGCCGTCTGTCAGTGGACCTCTTCTCCCTCGCCTTGTTTTAAAGATCTAGTAGCTCAAACTGCTAGCTCAGGTCCAAGGCAGTAAACAATGCCTGAAAGATCCATGACATGATCGGGAAGTTGAGGACTCCAGGGGAAGAAACAGCTCGGATTTCTAGGCCAACTCCTCAGGTATCAGAATCAGTGGGACCCAGTTTCCTACAGTGAGTGACAAAGGGGAGGCTCTGCAGGAGCATAATCATTTCAGGCTGACGAGCAAGTAGCTCAAAGACACGTGTGAGAAAGCCAGAAGGGAAAGCAGGGAGAGACAGGGAAGGAGAGCAGAGGGCAGGGAAATGGCACCTAGGAACACTGCGAAACGGTTTTCATGGTACTACCACAAAAGTTATGTCTCCTCTCATACTCAACTTCATGGTTTTGATTCTTTTACCCTCTTCTCTGCACATCCTCACGAAAGACGCTGGCATGACAAGGGGAGAATCTTCCTGTTTCCTAGTCCTGGCCTTGGCCAGAAAGCATTCAGTGAGTGGCATGTGCTGCCTTCTGGCCTACCTGCTCCCTCTAGCTTGCCCTCTGCTCCTAACCCTTCAGACCCAGCTTGCCTACACCTCTGGAAGCTGACAGACACAGAACTACTCCCACAAAACCTAGACAACCCATTTGTTCCTAATGCAGCTGTAAAGATTAATAACAAGGAAGTGATGGGGCCTGAAGAGACTCAGGAAAGAACAGACGGCATTTCCTAAGGGGATGGTGTAAACTGAAACCACGTTGTCAACTATCTCTGAGACCCTAGCAGGGGCAGCCTTGCTGGGGTGGCAGGAGAAACACAAGGGAAGGGAATGAATCAGCCAAGGCAGCTGGGGAGGAGCCAGGGAAGCCAAGGCCCCAACTGAGCCCTGCTGCCCAGGCTTCACTCTAGAGATCCTGGGAAGACACCCCTCTGACGTCGGCCCAATCTTCCACTCTGAACTACACCCACCTCCTGTCCTCATAGAAAGTATCCTGAACTGGCTGACCACAGCCACCACGGTGACAGGAAGGCTGTATAATTCCTAAATCCTCAAGGTCACAGTTTTCATTGTAGGATGTATCACCACTGGAAAGACGTGACCACCCCTTCCCTACACCACTCCTACGACACAAGATCCTGAGCTCACGTGTCCTGCCAGCTCTCAGTGAGTAATGTGTGCATGAACTTGCTGTGAGTAACGTGTGCGTAAACCTGTCTCTGCTCACGAGTCAGTCCCAAATCCTTTAGACCTGCTCAGTTCACAGAAGGGAAAATGTTTAAGTCCTGACCCTTGTCTTTCTCCATGCAGAGAAAAGGAACAGTGGCTGCAGGCTAAGTCAGAAGTCTAGGGCTCTAGTGACTAGAATCTAGTGTTTTTATTTGAGACAGAGTTTCGCTCTTGTTGCCCAGGCTGGAGTGCAGTGGCACGATCTCGGCTCACTGCAACCTCCGCCTCTCAGGTTCAAGCCATTCTCCTGCCTCAGTATTCCAAGTAGCTGGGATTATAGGCGCCCGCCATATTTTTGTATTTTTAGTAGAGACAGGGTATCGCCATGTTGGCCAGGCTGGTCTCAAACTCCTGACCTCAGGTGATCCACCTGCCTTGGCCTCCCAAAGTTCTGGGATTACAGGCGTGAGCCACCATGCCCTGCCTAGAATCTAGTTCTAATTCTGCCGCTGACTAGCGATGTGACCTTAGATGAATCCCTTCACTTCTCTGAGCCTCAGTTTCCTCATCTGAAAAATGGGTAGGAAGGGGAAGGGTGACAATGGAAGGAGAAAAGCTAAATGATTTCTAAATTTTAGAAGTACTTGGTTCAACATAGGTGAATCACAAAAACACATTGAGCTTTGAACACAAGCACAAAAGATCAATCCTGTGTACTGTATAATTCCATTTATGTGAAGTGGAGAACTGGAAAAATGACCCTCTGGCCAAAACTTGGAGGTCAGAGGTCAGAACAGTGAAGACCTGGGGTGGGTGGGTTGAGAGGGGCACGAGGAAACTTCCTCGAGGGATGGAGACAGTCCCCATTTGAGTGGCCGTTATACAGTGTGCACAGATGCAAACTTTCACTGAACTGTACACTTCAGGCCTATGTACTGCAGTGTACTTACATACCTCAACATTTTTGAAGAGAAAAACAGTACTTGGTAGACAGGAAACATGATTTAGCAAGTTTAGCAAATGAGCCAGGAGGTACCCCCTCATCCGCCCTTGTACCTCAAGTCCTGACCAGGAGCCCCAGGGACAAAAGCTAACCCCAGGTAAGGATCAGTCACGCCTGCGTGGGGCTCTCAAGGCAGCACACAGAGCACCAAGGACATGCTAAATCTCCCTATACTCTAACCCCTGGCCAGAGCCTGAGCCCCACCTCCCACCACCCAAGAGTCAATAGGCACTGAAGCAGCCCACACGCAGAGGAGGACAGGGACAGACACGCAAAACTGGCCCTTACACCTCTGGAGAGACTGGCGGGGTGGGGCTGACCGCCACCTTCTCCTCATTCTCCTCTGCCTCTTCCTGCCCAGGGCCCAGCTCCTCGGCCTGGGAATGCTGCTCCGTGCCCTTCTCGTGGGCAGCAGGTGGGCTTGGGGCCTGCTCCCTTGATAGCAGTAAGGAAACAACTGTGTTAAAGCCAGTAAGAAAGCAAGAGGCTTAAGACGCATGCCATTTGGGGTCAAAGAGCTATGATAGAGACAAGAGAGACAGCCCCAACAGTTTCCCTACCTCAGGTCTTAAACCTCCCTCTCCCCACCCTTCCTCTCCCTGAATTATCTGCATCAAAGACCAGAGACTCCTGCCTCACAACAGAAGCAGGATGGTTATGGTACCCCAGGAGCTCCGTACATAGCAGGTGTTCAGTGGATGCTGTTGATTACACATTGATGCTGCTCAGGTTCCCTAGTGATTCATTCCAACCCAATAAATTCTAAGACCAGCATGTTTCTCTTGCTAGGGGGACAGAGAACTAACAAATGTCCACCATGCTCTGGACTAGGCTAGGAAAAAAAGGTCCTCTCAGCTGGACTCCGAGTGATCTGGGCTTCCCTCTCTCTGGGCCGAGCACATAACAGGGCTCCAGCTGGGGCTG